CTTTCCCGTGCCTCCAACTCTCAGCGCTAGCAAGATGCCGCTTTGCATCTTCAATCTGCTGGTGGAGCAGGAGGTGGAAGGAATGTTCCAGAGAAATCTAGAAACACAAAATGACAACACCTCATAAGAAAAAAAAAAATGCAGATTCACATGAAAACTACACTGCGGCCACTTTTATTAGTTGAAGTACCATTAGGTAATGTCTAAATCCCGAATGCTTCATTCGCTCATAGATGGTGTTGTAATCTTCCATTGTTGAGTTGGGATGATGGTGAAAGATCTCAGTGGCAGTTCTCCAAATAAACTGAAATTTCAAAGAGAGCATTAAGGTCAAGGATGAAAATGAATGCAGTGTTTAAAGCTGAGTGTTTAAACAAGTCTTTATTAATTCTAATAAAATCTACCTCCTTAGATGGCTGCGCTGTGAAAAGATTTCTGTCTTCTAAAATTTGGGGGTAGTACACCATATATTCTGCTGCCTCCTCCCATCTGTGGTGCAGCATGGCTTCTCTGATGCGCTCCCGACACATGCTGGTGGTCCGGCGAAACCCATTCTGTTGAGTCTGATCTGAAGATGAAAGGTATGAGTTCCAAACCTCAGACAGCATTGGATTTGTGAGGCTGATAGAAACATTTTTGATACCTTTTAAATTTGTTTTAATAAAGAAATAAAATATTTGTATTTCACATTAAAGTGAAGAAATTATTTCTTAATTACCGCTGACTAAACTTTTCTATAATGTAAAATCCAGGACTATGTAGAAGCCAGCAAACAGTGTACCATACATTGATCAGTGAGCAATAAGTCTTGCATCTAATATGTCCTCTGCTGTCTAACAGAAAAATTTATTTATGGAAATTCTGTACAACCCACCTCCATAAATGGGCTTAACCAGAGGGAACTTTGATTTCTTCTCTCCTTTTGAAGAGTTGTCCTCTGAGGAGTCAGAGTCATTCTCTAAGTCAATGTGAGGCTCCAGCTCTCTTTCTAAGTCATCCATAATCAGCACAGCAGTTAGACTCAGTCAGGATACTTTAACCGGCTCATCTGCAAGAAGAAAATTAGTAACAAAGTATTTTTCTTCCTTTTTAAAAGGTACGTATTATTATATAAGACAAAGCAATCAAAAACAGGCACCATTAGTGTCACTGTTTCATGAAAACTTATTTAAAGATATGCATGACAACAAATTCCAATTACACCACAGTGCTACTGCACTAAAAATTGTCTATCAAAATGGTAAATGAACTGGTTCTTACATAGCACTACTACTCTATCTGAGCACTCAAAATGCTTTACACAACTTGCCTCATTCACCCATTCACACAAACACTTTTTCTATGGTCTTTCCCTGTAAGTGCTTTCTATCTAAACTTCACAAGCATTCATACTCTGATGGATGCACCGGAGAGCAACTTGGGGTTAGTATTTTGCCCCCACAACGCTAAACCAAACCATATCATGCAAAAATCTTAGATACTTTGGATTCTCATCCACATACAGAAAGGTATCTGATGGCTCCCAAATTTATTGTGCAACATGATAATTACTCCAAACATGCAGTGCTTAATTAATTATGTTGTAAAAAAAAAAAGAGAAAAAAAATGTCAGAAATTATCAAAAACTTGTTTAAACTAAAAAGTACATTTGTTATTTATTAGTCAAATAACAAGCTGAATTCACTTTGTATACCCAAAGTTGAGCTGAGTTATTTTCTTCTGGTTAGGAAGTAAACAGAAGTAGTAAATAGCTGTAATTTGACATCTTAATCAGAAAATAAATATCATTTAGGGTGGCTGTGGCATAAACCCTAATAAATTTGTTAAGCACTGTATATTGCCAGAGTCATTTTTGAAAGAAAAAAAAGTAGTCAATCTGGGCTTGCATACAGACACAAGATCAAATCAGGCAGCTTGAATCCACTATAGAAATGTTTGGAACAACCTACCCAGTAGCTTAAAAACGTTGGGTATGAGAACATAGAAGCATTACTGCTGTTTTAAAGACAAAAATACTCACTTTAGGACTTTACTTGTGTCTGTGTATTAACTTCCTGAGAAGGTAACCGACAAAATAAAAGTATTCAATACTTAGTAGAGGCTGAAATATTTGCACAGTACTGCATTTAAACAGGTGTGCTTGCCAATAGTTCAGTAATGTGTATTAGAGCAAGACCGCTTCAAAAGCTTTCATAATATATTTGGTCACTTTATACTAGAGTTGGCAATGTGCAATTGATAAAACTTTGGACATCTACACATGGGATATAGCAGTGTTATTACAGTCTTGTTAGTGCAGAGCTATTCTTTGCAGCTGTATTTGATGCTAACTCATGAGCTTTATTCACAACAGCTTATTTAGAGGCCAGCGAAAAACTACAACTTTAAGTTTTAAGATATCAAGAAATGAACATTTTTCCACAAAAGCAACAAAGAAACGGTCTGTTTTCTTCTGACTTACCCACCAGTTTTAAGTTTGCTCAGACTTTTCTGGAGAAAATTGTTTATCCTCCGTACCGATGTTAACAGCTACCTGCATCAGAGAGCTAACGTCCTATCCAACGAGCATTGCTGTTGTTACTCTTGAAAATTAATATAATGCAAAGGATTGCTATGTTGTTGATTACTGTGACTTTCACACGTTGTTTTTGACCGCCATGCTTTAGCAGCTAAGGAAGTACAGTAGGAAGCTACGCTGCCATTGGCTGCTGTACCCGGAAAGGGCGGGGCAAATACTTTTCTCCTTCCTCCTCTGAATTGAAGCGAAGAAACCTTACAAAAATGACTCCTGTTTACAGATATTTCCGCTTTTGTGTTTCTATAAAATGCTGCGTTCAAGAAAAAAAGAGGAAAAACAAGGATAAGAAACCCTAGACACAAATCAGCATTGTTTACCCTCTCCACTTTACTTTCTCTACGCTTTTATTTATATTAAACATGGGCAGTGTATAAAATACATTATTTTGTCACTTTTTACATAGCTCATGTTATTCACGGTTTTTTTTTGTTTGTTTTTTTTTACGTGGTGACGAGGGAGCTGAGTGTAAAAGCGAAGCTCTCAATTTACCGGTCGATCTACGTCCCTACCCTCACCTATGGCCACGAGCTGTGGGTAGTGACCGAAAGAACGAGATCGCGGATACAAGCGGCAGAAATGAGCTTCCTCCGAAGGGTGGCTGGCCTCTCCCTTAGAGATAGGGTGAGAAGTTCGGCCATCCGGGAGGGGCTCAGAGTAGAGCAGCTGCTGCTCCACATCGAAAGGAGCCAGCTGAGGTGGTTCGGGCATCTGATAAGGATGCCCCCTGGGCGCCTCCTGGGTGAGGTGTTCCAGGCATGTCCCACCGGGAGGAGGCCCCGGGGCAGACCCAGGACACGCTGGAGAGATTATATCTCTCGGCTGGCCTGGGAACGCCTTGGTATTCCCCCGGATAAGCTGGAGGAGGTGGCTGGGGAGAGGGAGGTCTGGGCCTCTTTGCTTAGGCTGCTGCCCCCGCGACCCGGCCCCGGACAAAGCGGATGAAGATGGATGGATGGATGTTTTTTTTACCATTACTCCAAAAATATTTAGCTATGAAATACTGAACTTTTTACTCCACACCATTTATTTTAAAGATTTAGTTCCTTATTATCTTTCACTCAGAAGGATAGCAGCAAGAGTAAAACGGCAGGTTTAGAAGACAGGAGGCAGAGCTGAAGGTTGCAGAGTTGAAGATGCTCATATTTCATTGGGAGACTCTAGACAAAGTTAAAGGGACAAGGTTGAGATGGTTTGGACATGTGCAGAGGAGGGACAGATATGCTGGACAAGTGATGTAGTGAGTGACAAGTGAATGTAGTGAGGGAGGACATGCAAAGGGTGACAGAGGAGGATGTAAGGGACAGGATTAGATGGAGCCAGATGATCCACTATGGCAACCCATAAGGGTAGTATTATAACTATATTATACGGGGTCTAAATTTTTCTTTTAACTCTTTTCAGAATAGTTACTTAGTAGAAAACAATTATCAGGATCTTGTGTAGTGCCACTTTTCATCAGCAAAGAGGCTCAGTGGTTAGTGCTACTAAAAACCTGGCAGGGCTCTTTTGTGTGGTGTTTACATCTTCTCCCTGTCATTGCACAGGTTTGCTGTTAATCTCATTAATTTCCATCATCGGTTAAATAAATGCTCATAATAAAAATATAATAAGATGCCATTTTTATGAGGGCAGAGGGATTCACATGAGCCTGAAAATCATGCCCAGTGTTCTCTCCACTCTATTTCTTTCTTTCTTTTCAAATAATAGATTTCCAATGGGCAACACCGCTTTTGTTTTTTACCCTCTCTGTGCCAGCCTATTTGAAAGATCTGGGGAAACATCCCTGCCAAAGGCAAACAATGGAATCCATTAAGATAGTAAGATGAGGGCAAGTTATCAAGACACCAATATGAAGGAGCAATCCACAGCAGATATATATTTGTATATTAAAAAAAAAGAAAACTACTACAGAGATATTCAGCATATACAAAGCAGTGATGTACATGATTTTCCCAGCCGGCAATAAAGTGTAAAGCACAACTGCAATGCAGGATCATCCTCATTAATCACGGCACAGATACTGCTCCTAAGCGCACATATGCAAAGTTAACTGAGGCACATCAGTTAACTTTTTATGACGGTCATTTCGTGCTAAACGATAAATCAAAAGCATTTATGCATTAGTTATTCATATACCATTTTTGGTTGTCTTTCCACTGTAGTAGTCAAATATGCCCAATAGTCAAGTATGCATGATAAGGAAACCCTTTTTTTAAAATTCGGAGGAAAATATGCACATGCACTAGACTAAATGATAAGCCTCATTTATGACTGCATCTGCTTCATTTTTTCTTTTCTTTCTTTTTTTTGGTGTTGTTTCCCCCCCACCACGGCCACATGAAGCAGACACATCCAATCGTTCATCCTGTGAAAAGCGATCCTGAGCCTACACCCAGCCGGATCTGCTGTGCTGACGTGTCGGCTCCTGCTGCCCAGTGCTCATGCTCCAGCAGCAGCAGCGGAGTCAATCCAGTCAACAGAAACTGCCAGCATGGCAGCAAAACACGTTTACCGACAGGGCTTTTTATTACTTTTATTTAACTTTATGTCAGCCGCAGCCCTGGAGAGAAGGTTCTCCGACATTAAGAGATGCGCCGATAAGGAGTGCAGCAGTAAGTCCGCTGGCTTTCCAACTATTATCTCAGGGGGGCTTCTCTGATGCGTCTTCGCACCATCCCGATACTACAGCCATAAACTGCCGTTATCTCTTGACCTGTTGCCGGTCGATATTTGCGACCTTGATCTCCTCTTGAAATTGTTGTGATGCTGTTTACCTGTGTGATGCCCAGTGAAAACAGGACAAGCAAACATTAACATTAATCATTTGGCTGGGTAGGATTACTGGTTTCGATGCAGCCCATGTTGGCTGGGTGCCTGTCAGCTTCGGCCTGCCTCGCTCCCGGATAGTGGAAGCTAAGGTTAGCAGCTAATTAGCCACCGGCCGGCTCGCTCTGCTAATGTTCAGGGTAAAGGTGATAGGTGAAGTTAAAGCCACGGGGTTTATAGTGTTCAACCACATTTGCCTCACTCTCATGTGGATTTGTGGGATTGGGCTGCTTTGCCACAAATCAATATGCTTCTGTAACGCTTCTAGCTAGCAAAGTTTACATTTTTACCCTGCCTCCTGACTCTTAACCTCTACATTCAGTGCAAGACTTAATAAAGGACACGCAGCTGTTTTACTTACAATACAGAATATTCATTTAGCAATTGTTAACCACAACCGCAAAGTCATCTATAGGTGATAAGAACGTATTTTTTATTGTTGACTTATCATCAGGGGGAGCTAATTTTGACTCATAAAACAGTAAATATCACACACTGTAACTCATAAAACACAAGTCAGAGCTGAAACTCAGCCACTCAGAAAGAAGTCTGAGTGAAATACAAAATTTAAGACAGTGGTTAGTAGCTAATACTTGAATCATAGTTAAAGTTTCACCTTTTCTGCTTTTTGTGTATCAGTTTTGGGCTTGTTTTTCTAATGCACGTGTTGTTAAAGTGGCAACATACATTTCTGTTATTTAGCTTTACATCAGTTAAGTATGTTGTAGTTAAAATGTAGTTGTCCAGTGAGATGTGTGGAATAAATACCTAACAACATAACAGGAGAAAACTGCCGACAGATAAGTACAAGAATTACTGACCATGTATGCTATCATCCCTCTTGTTGACTGATATGCACATTCAGCTGTAAGTATTAGTTATTGTTTATGTTAAGATGTCTTTGTTTCTCTGACACAACAGGCTGTAGGAAATGACAACAAACCAAAATTACTGGTTTCAGCTAAGGGTCGAATGCTTTGTATAAACATCAGCTTTAGCCTGATGTTTTACATCTGGTGCATCCAAGAACCCATCCATCCAGTTTCTTCTGCATATCCAATTCAGGGTCATATTTGGGGTGCAGTCCATTCCAGATGGTCTATCGGAGGCCTGACGAACCATTCACACTTATGGCCAATATAGAATCACCAAGTGCTTTACATGTTGGCTTGTCAAGCAAAAGATTGCTGGTTCGATTCTAGCCTGCGACGCAAATAAACCTGGGGGTTTCTGTCATCAGGAAGTAGTTTCTAGAAAACTCACCGGACAATATGAAAGCACCACACAGCGGCCTTAGCCTGCAGTGGATTCAAACTCAGCTTCTTGGTGTGAGGTGACTTGAACTAAGCCCAAAACAAATAAAATCTTTGAATAAGTCATTCTTACCCTTTGTTTTTTGTTTTGTTTTTTCAGTGCTGCTGTGTCGGGGGAAAGCTGTGAATGATTTCTCAGGACCTGATTGTCGGTTCTTGTCTTTCAAGAAATCTGAAACCATCTATGTATATTACAAGCTGTCAGGAAGAAGGCCTGACATATGGGCCGGAAGTGTAAGTATACTATAGCACATATTTATTGAGCTCTGGATTTAATTTGTGTAGTTAAAATCCTGAACATGTTCTTTCGCAATAGGTTGGAAGCCACTTTGGCTATTTCCCAAAAGACCTTCTGGCAGTTAACCACATTTATACTGATAACGAATATGAAGTTCCAGCTGAGGTATGGAAATATATAAGAAGATAATCCACGTGTGGATACCACAGATAGTAAGATGTAATTTTTAATTTTTTTTTTTTTTTATCTCTTCTCAGGAAACAGATTTTGTCTGTTTTGACACTGGATTTGACAAGTTTGATAATTATGATGTAGATTTGCTCCTTGGCTTGTCAGCAGAGGAGAATGATAGCGAAAACAACAAAACATCTTACCAAGTCCAAGCAGCAGAAGCAATAGAAACAGGAGAAGAAGTAGCTCAGAGTGAAAAACAAACTGAGCATCATGATAACTTGGAGGAGCTTCCTAAAGCCCCTCATGATCAAAGTGCCTCTTCAGCCGTTCTTGATCAGTCAGCTGAAACACCTTTACAAAACACAATGGAGTCCAATGCAGAAGTTGCACGTGATGCTACAGAAGCTGAAGAGGTTAAGGAAAAACATGTACCAGAGTCTGTCCCTGAAAACTTGTCAGAAAAGAGTGAAACCAAAGATACACCCGCAAAATCGGAAGTGGAGTCTGTGCCCAAAGATGATTTTGTTTCAGAAAGCGAACCAGTCTCATCTTCTGAAGGAGTTCAAATCCCTGAGTTGAAAACTACCATTGGTTCAACTTTTGATGCCATCGTCACCGATGAAGAAATCACAGAGAAAATTACCACTTATGAAGAAGAGGAGGAGAGTGTAGACGTGGAAAACCATCCAGAAAGTGGCACTAATGTTAAAGAAGAAACTCCACTGTTCTCTTTTTCAGAAGACTCCATCAACACTCAACCATCTGTGGAAATCCCCAAGTTAAAAACGACCCTTGGGACAACTTTGGATGCTGTGATCACAGATGAAGACACCACCAAGAAAGTTACCCCGTATACAGAGGAGGACAGTGAAGATGTGGAAGATCATCCCGAAAATAATAGTGATACTAAAGAGGAAACTCCACTGCTGTGTTTTTCAGAAGAATCCGTCAACACTCCAGCATCTGACTCTATTAAAAAGCCTGAAACTCCACTGGCGACACCTGAGGATAAACCAAAGACAGCAGAGGAGAAGAACGTGTGGACATCACTCGGAGATGCTGTGTTTTCAGCTGTCACTGGAGTAGACATAACCACACAAGAAGTGAATTCAGAAGAAGAGGAAGATGATGATGAGCGAGTGCCAATCTCTAAGTTAAAAACTACCTTTGGGACAACTTTTGATGCTGTTGTAACAGATGAAGAAAGCACCAAGAAAGTTACACCAAATCCAGAAGACAACAGTGAGGATGTGGAAGATCAGCCCAAAAATGATAGTGTTACTGAAGAGGAAACCCCACTGCTGTCTTTTTCAGGAGAATCCTCTAACACTCCAACACCGGAGTCTCCTAGAAATCCTGAAAGTCTGCCATTGACACCTGAGGATAGACCAAAGACAGCAGAGGAGAAGAATATGTGGACATCACTCGGAGACGCTGTGTTTTCAGCTGTCACTGGAGTAGACATGTCAGCAAAAAAAGTGAATGAAGAGGAAGATGAGGACGAGGAAGACGAGGAGGAAGAGGATGTAAAAACCCGTGATGAATCACTCTCGGTAAAATCCCCAAAGGACCCAGAGAACATGGAGCCAGTTCTTCAAGATTCTTTGAATTCTACATCTGATAATTCTGATGTGAATGAAGGCACCAGTGACTCAGAGAAAGTTTTGTCTGATAAGAATGAAAATGATGTAGAAGTTACTGGACATAAGGAAACTCAGGATGAAACCAAAAAATCAGCAGAGGATCAAATAGAGCATCTAACAGAGGGGATGAGAATATCCACGGAGCCACTGCCACAAGATAATAATTTAGACAACCATGAGGCTGAAGTAACATATATAAAAACCACACATGAAGCCACTGAAGACAAAGACGAGCAGGAGGTGCCCAAGGATTCAGAGATTACTGAAGACAAAGATGAGCAGGAGGTGCCTAACGATTCAGAGATTACTGAAGACAAAGACGAGCAGGAGG